GTGGTCCCTGGTGGTTTTACCTGGAGGGATTGATTTGCAGCGCGTGTATACCCGTCTGATGCTCTGCGCCGGGCCAAGGCGTGCGCGGCCGCAACGTGGGGATGGCGTCTAACGATCTTGACCGCACATCGTATACCATTAACTGTCAAATATTATAAACGCAAAAGATTAGATAGATGGATGTTTGTTAGACTTTGTAGCCTAAACTAATTCTGCATATATGTAGAGGATAGTCTGGAAGAACACATAGGCTATTCACTTTTGTTTTTTTTTATTTCACACGTATGGAGTCGCGTGCGAAAGCTAGTAGTTAATAGATATTATATCTTACCTTATTGCACTTAGTCCCAAAGACAACTTGTCTATCGGAGAGCCATTGTGAGCAGAACACTTTGTTCATATTGCCGAGACTGACTCGCGGAACATATCATGTGTCAGCATATGCCGGGTTGCGTATGATGGGTCCACTGAACGGGGCTGTTATATCACAAAAATTGTACAGAAACATGCGAAATTGGACAGAATAGTTAGAAATAAGGTCAATACTGGTTCTTAATCATACTCATATAAAGAGGAAAACTTTGTTTGTTTGATTGTAATAACTCAAAAACTATTCAGCCAATTTAAAAAAATCCTTCACCATTAAGAGCTTAGTTGCCAGTGAGTAACATAGGCTATGTTTGATATTATTTTTTTAATTTAACGCGGACGGAGCCGCGGTCGAAAGCTAGTGTGTAATATAGAGCTGTTAAAACCAATTATGTTATTGTTAAATGAATATTAAATAATATATATGGTTTTAACAACTCTATCAATTTCCAAGTTGTAAACATAACATTTTTAATAGTTAATAAAATTTTATAGATACCTCAGGTGCCTGTATTTCCCTAGATCGTACATAATCAACAAAGTTATAAGATGTGGAAAGTATGCGGTGCTGCTGAGCGGGTGTCTCCTCTTCACTGTCACTATCGGAGTAGCATACAAAGTCCTCCGGTTTATCCGGCTTGCTTTGCTGTTGTAATCTGAAATTCATAACACCATTCTCTATGTTTTTGAGAAACATTTACATTGCTTAAATTGCATTAGAATTAGGAACTTTTTGATTCATATTGTCTCTTTAACAATTCCTCTTTGTATAAGCAACACCCTATCTATACATATAATAAAATTGGAGAGTGTATGTGTAATTTCAAAAGAAAAATTCCAGATTTCGGGACGATAATATATTTTGTTTTGTCTGTAAGCCGCATTTGTTCGGGGTATTGTCTGAAACGGCTGGGCCGATTTCACTAAGGGTAGCTGACATATTATAGCTACTATTTTATCTTAATATTGCGTGGACAAAGTCACGGGCTTCGGCTAGTGGTACATAAAACAGCAAAATTTAATCAAACCTTAAAAACTATTAAGGATTAGTACATAAATTTTATTACAATATCGAGAGGCTGAAAGTGCATCTTAATAAACTGGTGGCGAGCAAGTTGAGGGAGGCGAGAAGTGGGTATGAAGCTCAACATTGACTTGTCTTGTCTTGAGAACTGGCAGTCAAGTTACTGGCATGTGTATATTATGGCAGTATATATACACAACAATTGTCGACTGATATTTTTTAGTAATAATTAAAATATGATAATGCGCAACAATGTAAAAATAAGCCATTTAATCTTAATTTCAAGATTAATTTATCTTCTTTAGATATGAAATTAAACATTGTAATGTCAAGATTCACAGACAAATATTTACAATTGCATTTATAAATTTACAATAGAATTATTAGCCTATGTGGTCTTCTAGGCTATGTTCTACATCTGTGACAAGTTTCAACAAGATCTGTTGAGATGTTATGGATATATGTAGGAACTAACATCCATCTAAACTTTTCCATTTATATTACACAAGCTTTCGCTCGCGACTCCGTCCGCATGGAATTAAAAAAACAAAAGTGAGTAGCCTATGTGTTCTTCCAGACTATCCTCTATATCTATACTAAATTTTATCAAAATCTGTTTAGATGTTTAGGTTACAAACTTTAACAAACATCCATCCATCCATCCATCTAAACTTTCACATTTATAATATTAGTATGGTTAATACTTAAATAACACTGAGAAGGATTGTGGTTACTATATAACTAGTTTGCACCCATAACGCTGTATGCATTGAATTGAAAAAAATAAGTAGCCAATGCCTTCCAAACTATCCCTTACATCTAAGACAAATTTAATTAAGGTATGTTAAGCAGTTGCCTAACTCTGTCACTGCATGGAACAGGCCTCTGGATAGTGTAGTGGTGGCTCCAACAGTCAATGCTTTTAAAAATAGACTAGATAAATTTAAAATCTCCATGCTATACAACACACACGCATCACCTAACTAGCTGCTTGTGTGTCATCCATAAATAATAATAATACTTTTAAAAATTTGAAGAAACATTCATCCATCTAAACTTTTATATTTACAATATTATTAAGATAAAATCTAGTTTGGAAGAAAATTAAGGGCATCAAAGGACACTATTGATAACTTTTATCATTTGTTATCAGCATGTACTATATTTCATTATACCTAAATTATTCTTTGTTGTTTGGCAAATAGAAATGTTAAGTAAATATTAAGAAATATATGATAAAACTATTTTAATGCATGTTTCCAGATTAGATGCCATATGTTGCAAGTAACATGCATTGTAATATTTAATATTCTTAATTGTTACAATCTTTTCACAAATATTTTAATTAATCTAGCTTTTGTTGTATATTTCAACATATAAACTATAATAAATTAGTTTTAAATTCAATATTGAATAAAGACACAGTTCAAAAAGACTTGAGAACTATCATGTGTTACATTGCACACGGAAGGTAAATATTTACACAATTATACCTCAAGGCTCTAGCTTTATTTCTTCTTTCTTTAATTCTATTTGGTAGGTAGCATGAAGGATATCTTCCTTCGATGGCACGTCTCACCGTCTGCGCCATTTTTCATACGCAGCACTAAACTAGCACAAATATTCACAAATAAAACACGTAGTACAAGTCACTTTCGTTTTGTTCGATTGTAAATGGATCCATAACGGGAAGACATATAGTACCAGTTCCACCATCAAATTACTCCACAAACAAACCCTTAATGGGCCACTGCAGTAATTATTTCAAATTTTGTAAACACTTAATACAAAAGTAAACAACATCTAAACAGTTTTGAGCGTAAATTTTCTCTTTAGATCCCAAATTATTGAACAATATCACAATGACGGAAAGCTGGCTGTCAGCAATCACCATTTGTCAATGTTGCCAGTTTAAATTACTTTTGTTTTTTTTCCTTCAATACAGATTAATAATAAAATATTTAATCTAACCTACTGACCTCAAAAACAATTAATAGACTATAAGGTTGCTATAAGACATGGAATTTAGTGCCAATTTGATTTTCACCATTTTGGCGCTGATGGTTGCAGATGGAAGTGGTGGTACGGATTCAAATTATTAAGATAGATTATTCTTTCTGCATTATCGACGGGTGCGCTATTATTTTAATTGTAATCTTTAAAAAAATCCTGAGCAGAAAAGGTCGATCCAGTTTTAAAATAATTGTAAGTATTCTTACTAGTACACACTCTTACTTCTTCTACAGAGGTATCCGGCGAAAGTTTTTAAAAAGCAATAAAGGATTTTTAAGGTGGCATTTTGCTTTTCGATTTTCACACTAAAATAAACTCATCACTTGCTATTTAGCGAGCAACAAGAAACAAAGTTCTAAGAATCAAATTGCCCACTACTGAGAAATAAATAGGAATTAGAGCAGTATCATATTTGCCTATCTACGCTAAAGCCTAGAACTGATCACTTTAGAAAACAGGAAGCAGGTTAATTGGATTATCGTCTACAGAACGGAAGCAGCAGGAAATCGTGTTACCCTTTAGTTGCAATTTGCTTTTAATAAACGTTGATTACTAGTGATAATAAAATGTTAAATTAAATTAATTGAACCTAGCATTTGTAACCGCATTTTCTAATCATTTGACACGTAAATAGGACAGTGTATATTTAACCTCAAATTAAACATGGCCGTCAATTTCTATGTTTACAATTGAGTGATCTAACCGCAATTACAACCAGTGAACACAGATTTAATAACCTTTAAATTAGGGCAATAAAGTTCAATGATTGATTTATCATCTCCGATTACATATAATTCATTCAAGTTTAGACGTTGTTTTTTTTTAACAAAATATAGCAAACGAGCAAGTGACCACCTGAATCCACCAAAATGTCGAAGCGACCGCTGCCCATAGACATCGCAATAGCGGCTGAAGTGGATATATCCCTGTCCTATGTGTATCTTCCAGCGTCAGATCCACGTTGCACGTAGGAAAAGGGATTAAAGTCGGGGCTCCGGCACCACACTCATCAGACGAAACGCGAAATTGCTTCCATTTCATGTGGTTGTCATATTTCATTTCGTGAGAAGATAAAGCGGGCTCCATCATTGTCAAAAATTTTTGTGACCTAAGATCATTTTTGTGATAACACCGACGATTTTTTATAGAATGTCACTTTATTATATTAATTGAATATATGAATGAATAGTGTTTCTTCTATAAATGCATTTCCTATCGCTCGCTAGAAGCCGCTGCACTAACCAACAACTTCCTGAGTATTAATTAGATCCTGTTTTATGGAGAGTTTCCCAGGTTTGTTTTTGTATATATTTACTTCGCTATATTTTTATTGTAATATAAATTATACGACAAAATCAAAACTGAATTTTAATAACTTCGACATTCTGTTCAAAAAATGCTATTAAGTTTTACTAAGGTTAAGAAATACTTTAACGTAAAATGTATACGACAAAGTATGAGAGAAATATCAGATGTTCCGAACTTGGGTGTGTTTATCAAAGACCGGGATATCGGATCTCCACTAAGTAGCACAAACATTTAGGTTAAGAGAATATGACAATGATGGTAGAAATATATGGAATTTATGATATACGGTACAACCTCGATATCTCAAACCTCTATAACTTAAATTAAAAACATAACATGAAAGAATAAAAGGAAAAGAGGTAAAAAATTAAAAACATAACAAGAAAGAATAAAAGGAAAAGAGGTATACACAAACAAAATGCCGCAATATAAAAGCACAAACTAAGTCAAATCGGTAATAAAGCCCAAACAAAAATTCTTGCTATGCAAGAAGAAAAGAGACGGCGAAAAAAAAAACTCTATAACTTCAAAAAATAATATGTTCTCTTCCCATCAGAGCCCAAAACCTCTATAACATAGACCCTTGATAACTTAAAACCTCTATAACTTAAAGTATTTTGTATTTCCCTTGGACTTTAACTTATCGAAGTTCAACCAATTACAACAACATGCCCTTATTACAGTTTTTAATTTTCCATACTTTTTCTTGTGTCAGAAATAGTATTTGTGTTACATTTTTCATTACTTTAAGTTACTATGTGCATTCCAAGTGTGGGGAGAGTTTATTCCATCATAATAATATGCGGCTTGGGCTGTGATTCAAGCCCCCTATCTCCCTTGAGAATAGCAATGCATACGCAAGATATTGAATTTCCAACCACATTATAGTTACTGTACAATTTCTACCGACAAATTGGACGGATAGATTAGATTCCTTAGTGTTACAGCATGACTTCGGACCTGGTAGACCGATATGCTATTTTCCATGTAGTTAAAAACAAATATTTGTTTGGCTTTTTTGGATTATTTATGGTAGTTTTTAAACTTTTTTTGGCCTCTTATCAAGGTATCGGACATTGGTTGCAGTAATCCGTTTGCTGTTGGCTCGCCGCCGCGCCGCGATGTCTGGCCCAAATCACCCTCGCTATACTTCCTGCCAACCTATCAAGCAAATTAACATGCTTCTGTTTCGTGTAACATTGCAGTTTTATATTGAACATTTTTTTTAAATATCCTTCTAGTTAGGGAATTTCTAGGGCCAGTAATTAATAAAAGCAGACAAAATGCAAATGAGAAAAAAGTCATTTGAAAATGTTAGCCGCCGCGCTTTTGCGTGTGCAATTTGACTTATCTCAGTGTTGCCAGCTTTTGTTGGTTAGGTTTGTTATTTGTCGTAGACAAGTTTCTGTTTGATCCATAAATTTTTCAATATTTTTTTTTTATCACAGATTATTGTTTTCATATTAAAATATTTATATAAACATTTCAGTATATTTCGCATAGTTTTAGTCCCTGAATTTCGTCATAGTTCTACGAGTATGTTAGAACGTAATTAGTTTAACGAAAGCCTCGGAGTAGCCGCGGGGGATACGCTTGAAACTTCTGACCCGAGTATATGTTATGTACCGCATGTTGAATCTAATTCTATTCTGGATTTCTCTGATTTAGTTTTGAGGTTATCTTTTATACAAGATATGTAGTCTGTTTTTCAAGAATAAATGGTGAACTGTAATTTTAATATATTAGTGTCAAATCAGATTGCATTGTTGTTTTTTTTTTAAATAGAACATAGAATAAAAAAAGGTAAACTCCGTATGACACTGTTTTTAAATGGCTTAAAGCGGGCGCGCCCTTTGACTAAATAATCGTATAACTATTGTGCGATTGTCGATTGTTTCGCAGCCAATTCAACAGTTTTGCAAAACTAAAAATCGTATAGTGCGCACCTTCATATAAACTCAAAGCAAGAACAAACAGTTGTACGATAGTTTAGTTTGATGTGTGCGCATGCTCAGTAAAATATTATTTGTTATTTTTAAGCTTACGTACACAATCAAATAAAGTAATTTAAACAATTGTAAAATATATTCTACAAGCTTTCGCCCGCGACTCCGTCCGCGTGGTATTTAAAAAAAAACAAAAGTAAGTAGCCTATGTGTTCTTCCATACTTTGCTCCGTTCAGCCGTTTAGGCTACAAACTCTAACATCCATCCATACATCTAAACTTTCGCATTTATAATATTAGTTTGATTTGATAACTGATGTTTCTTTGTATTAATAAATTAGTAGATAGAATTCATACCAGAATACATTGTGATACTATGTCACAGAGCAAGTGAAGTTACAAGCTCATTCCGTACGATTTCACAGTGGCTATAATCTAATTATGTTACAGCCGTGTAACACGATTGTATATCGTACTTGTAGGGTTTTTATTCAGTTTTGTATCATGTTAGAGGAATTCTCTTACTGCTGTTACAGTTTTTAAACGATCAATAAGATCACGCATTAATATTTGACTAAACTATGGCACAATTGTTTAGTTTCAATTTGATTCCTATGAACTTATATGGAGGTGTGCACGCTACTCGATTAGTACAGCAAATCACTTGAATTAGCTACGAAACAATCGACATTCGCACAATAATCGTGCGATTGTTTAATCAAAGATGTGCGCTCGCACTAAACGATGGTAGTAAAACAATTAATCCATGTTTTATACAAATGTTTGGAAAACGTCGCTGTTTTAGTTGGTCTCTAAAATCAATTACAGCGTGAGTACGCGGCAAGCCGGCGCGTGACTGAACAAGGGCGGAACGGATTAACGACTGTTGTAGGTATTGATGCAATTTTGATGCCTGAATGCGTTTTGTGTTAAATGCTTTAACGTACCAGTGAAGGAAAACATCTAGATGTCGGAATATATGTGAAATTCAAAGATATATTAAGTCAACCTGTAGTAGGCCTGCATGACTGTGGTCACATTTAACTAAGGGTAGGCCCTGAACCTCTAATTTTTGGTGGAAAGTGAAGATGTAGATGTACACTAGATCTCGCCCGCGACTCCGTCCACTTATAATTAAAAAAGTAAGTAGCCTATGTGTTCTTCCAGACTATCCTCTACGTCTATACCAAATTTCATCGAAATCCGCTCAGCCGTTTAGACTACAAACTATAAGAAACATCTATCCATCCATTTCATCCAAATCCAAATTTTCCAAATTTTCGCGTTTATAATATTAGTATGATTATTTAAATATATTTGGTGGTTTATTTATTTGTTGCGCTACAATATTTTAAACACATTTTAAATAACGAAATAAAAGTCCTGCTTCTGATGTTTATGTGTTACTCACCAATATAATTTTCATATTAAATATCTCAAATTACTCCATAATTAGTACAAAATTTGAAATATATCAGTCGGTCACAAAGGCGAGCGAACGACCAAATTGTACATCCCAGAGCGTCGCGGAATGGAAGCGGGTCGCGTCGCTTATTGCGCGGTCGCGTGAGTCAACGCTATTTCACGTCAAATACGGTGTGGCCATTAAATGCATAGAGA